TATATATATATATATTGTTTTACTTAATTTATCATTGCTTTCTGAGTTTGCAACTTTTTCCAAGATGGCGGTTTCAGAAGCAGGCTATTTGCATAACCAATCGACAAAGAAAGCGCTTCAAGTCCCACCCCGAAGTACCAAAGAAGTACCCCAGTTAGTTTGGCACATTAGGTACTGGAACTTTTGATTGATACTGGTATTCGACCGGAAGTCAATGGAAAAGGGAAAGTACCGTAGTGAAAGTACGGTACCTGGTGCGGTGGTAAAGCACTAAGGGCCCTATTTGACAGCATGTCTACAGAAAAAAAATGACTGCTGTTTTGATTCAATATTTGTTAATTCCAAATATACGTACCCCATGGAACTGTGGGAGTTTGGGAAGGAGCACACTAAGAAGAGAGCATGTGTTAATGAAGAAGTGCGTAACATCGTACTTGGTGTAGAAACTGGCCAGGATGTACCTAGAAGAAAAGGGTACAGATTACAGTAGATGGTAGAGAAGCTGTTTTTCCAAGACATCAAGACTATTGCAAAAGATCATGCTGCTATTGATCTTATGGCTGTAATTGGTTAAAAGGCTGCAGTCTTTCCACAGAGAAGTCTACATATCAGGAAAGGTAATAATGGAATGGTAGTAACTGATTCAAACTGCTCCAGTAAATATCCAATGACAAAAATGAAGAAAATCAATGAAAGCCTATGTAACTCTGAAGAGGAGAATCTGGTCTAAAAATGAATAATGATCACTATAATTATTATTATAAGAAACTGTAGTACTTCAGTGTTTACTAGGCTTATTGAATGACTATGGAGAAAGATAGGGTTCAAATAAATCTTACAGCACAATAGGAGAAATGGTGAGGAACTTGCGAGAGGAAGTGAACTGAACGCCGTAGTCCATCTGTTCCCAGTGTGTAAGCAGGCGTGCCTTGCCCTGGTCAGGAGTCTCGAAAGGGGTGCCCTTGACCGTGTGGAGGAACAGGTACATCACCTGTCAGTCAGAGTGTAGATGCACCATCAGTAATGACTGTCCACTTAACAGACATAAACACCACACATCTGTTTCACCTGCAACATGGAGTGTTTACCCAAACAACATATCAGGTGATTTGTTTAGATGCTTGATATTATTCAGCTGCATTTTGTGTGAAAATTGTTTTGTGGTGTGTATAGCTCAGTAGGCTGACTATCTATGCCTGTGTCCAAAAAGGTTGTTGGTTCTAGTCCTGTGGCTGGTAGAGTAGTGATATAACTATCTCTGGGACCATGAGCAAGGCCCTTAACCCCAATTGCTCCATGGGTACTGGATGATGGTTGACCCACTCTCTGACCCCAAGCTATCTTCACTTGTACATTGCTTTGAAGAAAATTGACTGCAAAAAAAAAGTTAATGTGAAAGGAGGAAGATGAGAAAAGCCTGCAAAACAAATAGAACTTGATAAGGAGAGAAGCCTCCTGTTTGCTTCAACCCAAGCCACCCCATAATTATTACCACACTCTTGTCTTTTAATATGTACTATTATCATAAATGGCACTTTCCACTGCGACCAAGAACCGATCCATACCCAGCCCATGCCCACATTCACCTGGCCCTGATTACTAGCAGGGATGACAGTGTGATTAAACAGAGCTGGTTACATCATCACTATCTGACTGCTCGAAAAGCATGGAGATAAGAAAGAACTGGAATTATTCATTATTCGTAATATAACAGATTGTTTTGGTGTATTGATACATTCCTGAAAACCTGAAAAAGTACTATATGATACGGCTACAATGAATGGATTTGTAATGCAAATTTATGCAAGGTAATAATTCCGCTAGCGTTTGATGCTACCATAACACGCTAACATTCCCCCACCCCCTGAATGACTGTTTCTGTGAAACAATCCACCCCCCTGAATGACTGTCTTCTATGCAACTCTATGCTTAGGGCAGGTCATTAGGCACACAGTACCTCGGACTGACATATTGTACACATTGTACTCAAACAAAGTTGTTCTTATTTCTTATTTACTACTTTAACTTATGCTGCTAAACTGCGAGCTGCTAAACTGTTTTTCACAGTTTTTGTAATTGTGACAATAAAGATCTATCTTATCTTACCAATTCTAACAGATGTGCTGGTGGAAACTGGCACATAGTAAATCATGATAGTAACACCATGTGAACAGTAAACAAGCATGTCTTCAGCTTTACATCACTGTCATTTTCCAAATCCGGCAATGATCCAACCGATCCGAGCCTCTTACAGTGGAAAATTAAAGTGAGCTGGAACCGTGCCGTAACTAGTGACTCTTTACGGTACAGTCTGGTTCCGGTATGCCAGTGGAATAACGCCATACATTATATACATACATCAGGGCTGCCACTAACAACAATTTTTCTATCAATTAATCTATTAACTATTTTACTGATCGGTTGATTAATCTAAACGATTAATTTTCCTCCAGAAAACCAAATTGACTGTTTCATTTAAGTTCATTTTGATTTGACAACAACAAACTATGTCTTTGTTGGGCTTTAGATAACAGACACCAGCCTCTCTGAACTTATTTACGCCCACAATTCGATAAGCATATTAGTAGAATGCCTAACAAAAATTCATCAGAGGCATACTGTGATGCCCATAAGTTAGTAATCTGCATACATTCGGTGTACCTGTATGTTTATTATGTTTAGTTAGCAGCACAACAAAAGGCACGACATCTTTTAAAAGAGGAGATATTGTGTAAAAACAGTAAAAAAAAAAAAAATGCTGGGGAATGGTGGTACATTTTGCTGTCTAAAGTCAAACATGTTGTTTTGGTAAATACAGTTTCCAATTTATTTCATTTCATAAATTATTATTCTTTATTAAATGGTAGTGTCCGGTTTTGTTTTCGTTTGCAACAGTAACACTGGTCCCAACAAGTCCAACGCCCATGAACACACACTGGCACCGTCAATAAGCGTAGAATAAGCCCAGATTCTAGCCTAAATGTTGGTCAAACACCTGCGTGAAGCTGGTGCCCCATACGTTTCAGATTTCAACCAAACTGGTCTCAATCGTATGTGCCGCGTTTGTGCCGGATTGTGCCGTTAAAATTTTTGTTTGTGTGATTTTAGTTTCTGAGATATAAATGTTTGTTTACATGGTGACGTCATCAGCGTGACCCTATTTTCGTCTGATTTCCACCAGACCGATCGCAATCGGAATCACGTGACAATGTAAATAAGCAATAAATAAATCTCCCACCTGCAAAGGCTGATACATTAAAATGTCATCCCAGTACCAATAGATAGATTTGCCTTATCAGAAACAAACTTGGGGTGTAATGCTGCGTTCCATTTATCTTGGAGGTCGGAACTCAGAACTGGGAATGACGTCACACGCAAGTTAACAGTGTTTTAGTACATAAAGTCGGAAAGCCATTTAGTAGTACCAGGGATCCATTTCAAAAAGCAAGATTTCTTGTTTACCTGGATAACTTTTTGGATTTAATTTACCCCAGTTTAAATGACCTTTATCTTTGTTCACTTCGTTGTCTGCTTAAGCAAGAAATCCTGCTAAATGAAATGGGCCCCAGTTCTAGCCTAGTTAATTGTTAGCCATTCTTAACAATATCAGTGGATAACAACACATTAAGCGGCATTTTGAATAGCAACACGTCCACAGATAGCGGCTGGACAGTATTGTGTTTGCCACCAATTTGATAAGCCACAAATAAGCTAATAAACGGCATAAAATACAGCTTTAACTTCTGTTGATAAAGGGTGCAGCCATCTTGGATTCTGAGCTCGGGGGTGTGTCGATTCCTCCGAGTTCACAAGACGGAATTCCAACTTCAGGGGGCATTCCAGTTGAAATTTCTGACCAGGAACTTACAAGTTCAAATGGAACGCAGCATAACTTGAGCAGCATCTCTGACTCCTCTGATAGGTACCAGCTAACTAGCTGTCAGTGACTTCCTTTGATGCATTATGGCACCACCTCAAGGAACTCGTTACTCTTTTCTTTAGTACACATTGTTCACAAACAATTTTACGTGCAGCCCCTCCAATTAGCATCCAAATAATTATTAGCATATTTATCTGATGACATCAGCTGCAGTTTGGAGCAATTTGGTTAATATCAGCAAATCTATTCGCTGATTGGTGGATTTTAAGACTAGATTATAATTCATTGCCAACAGTATCAAGGAGAGTTATAGGGTTACTGCAAAACTGGGATACAAGGGACTGAGATACCATGGATGTTATTAATATTTACTTTACCCAAGTGTATCTTACATGTGTTTCTTTATGTCCTTGTGCAGACGGAAGTATCGGTTACACATAACCACAATCACAATGGGGTCAGTGCAGACATTAAGCCATCATAGCCTTAGGACTGGAATACCTGGAGCTTATAACAACCCAGAACTATCAGGCAGAATGGCCAGACTCCCCCCTCCCTCATTTATAGTCTGACTATTTGGTATATTACACTGTTCTGCTGAGAGACTGATCTCATATTGCAATGACTATACACTAAAACACCAAAGCTTATAAAGACATTTTTAATGTTAACTTCTCTCAGAGTGCACTCTTATATGCCTATCTATTTATTGTTCTATTTTGAGGAGAACAACACATGAATTTCCCAAAACCAAAGAATAAGATTTATTAGGGGTTTTAATTAATGAAGGCTAACCAAGGTTGGGTACTTACACTGGAAAAAAGATTCTCGACCACAGCGTAGACCCTGACACCCTAATCAACTCACCAAGTTGTGGATGACATTGGTTAGTGTCCAGACCAGGCCCACACTCAGGAAGGGAATGCTAAGTAGAACCACGTGTAGTACAACGACCAGAAGCAGGTAGGCCAGCCAAATGCCCCGGCTGTTCATGACCCGGGTGTTGGGATTCACCTCGCTGTGAGCAACGCCCACGTTCATTCTAGGGGTTAAAACGGGGAAAAACTGGTAAAACTGCTGTCCTCCAAACCACACTTACACATTTAAATATTGCAATGTCATGCGTCTTCTTACTGGCTAGTGAATATCATTTACCGAGCACCTATCTATTACGAAAGACAAGCGATACACGAACGCAACTTAATAGATCCATCAAAACTATTTTTTAAAAAGTAACACACTCAAAACTACATTAACTAATTACTACCTATATCACTGTATTTCCTGCTACAGTAAGCAAAAGGGTCTGACAAGTTTGGTTCGTGTTGTTTTGCATATAATTTTTAATCTGACTGCTTCGTTTAGTACATGAAAAATGCAGTTTGGACAAAGAATTCCTCGTGAGCTGCAGCGTACACGGTACAGGGACCCTGAAGCCGCGCGCTTCCGCTAACGTCGTGCCATTATTTTCTCTACATAAGCTGCTCTATCTCGATGGATATTATCGATAAAATCAACGTAATTACGTTACACTTGCGTGTCTGCAATACAACCCGGTAACAGAAAGTAGGATTCCAAGTTTTATCTTCCATTAAAATGGAGCGACTCCTACCTTGCGCCTCTGCGACCAGGAAGTCCTGTTTCTGAAGTCAGCCACGCCTTCGCCTGAGCTGGGCTGCTGTGACATTCATCCTTAAAAATACAGTACTATGAAATGCAAAGATGCACCAATACCTTACAAGGACGAGTCAAGCCAAATGCAACGTACTCGCTTCGTCTAAGAAAATGCATTGATCTTTGAAGCTGGTGTCTGTTAGAACATAGTTGTGAAATCTTTTTTTTTCTAGTTCTGTCAGGTTCTCTCTGTGTGTAAGGCTTTTTGGAATAAAAATTTTGAATGATACCAAATAAAGTACAGAGCATTTTTTTGCAATATCTGACACGTTTTATGATAATCGTAAATCTGTGATGAAGGGTACATGTGGAAGCAAGATCAGAAGCTGCATTTAGGGTATATGTGTCCATCAAGGCTGGACTGAGATTAAAAATCAGCCCTGGGCTTGTGTCCATACAGACCCACTACCAAGAGCGTAGATTTGGGCATGGATGTTGTGGGAGTACCATGTGTGTTTAAGGGGTCCCGATCACTGTAGAAATCAAACCTACGCCCTTACCCACATATGCACATACAATATAATTTTCAATGGAGGGGCTTCCCACGACATGATTATTAAAGTGACAGGCCCACCAGGAAATGACAGACAGCCAGTATAGCCATGACGTTAGATCTGTCTATCGATACACATTCAGCAGTGCTACTTTTCGGAGAGTAAATGTAACCGGGGCAGGTGTTCAGGCACCCTTAGTGACTCAATGTGAACCTTAAGCCCATCCCTGGTAGCTTGAGTATATACGACTTAAAGCTTATCTATCTATCTATGTGTATGTTTGTTTGTTTTTGAACACAATTTTCCTATCACCTTAGAAGGTTACATCCCTGTTCTTTTGATTATGCAATAAGAGGACAAGTTTGCTGTGATAAATTAGTCTGTTAGTTTGTATGCATAAGTGCATGTCTAACTAAAAGATTCCATAATTAAATTTGGCAAATGATTATGTGTTACCCCAGGTTAGTAAGTACAACTCTAATATGTTTCTTGAGCAAGTTATTATAACAGGACTTAACCAAATGGATCCGAAAGGCCTAACTCAAAGGTCGAAACTAGCTTACATGTTTTTTCACAGTTAAATATGTAAAATCACGCCAATTATTTTCCTGAATAACAACAATAAACAGCATTCAGCATTATTGGCAATAGCACATCAGTTTAGTACAAAATGTTCTAAATAGGAAATTCTGTGAATTCAATCCAATGCAAGAAACGTGCGTCACGCAATTTACTTCCTTGTATGAGGTCGTACATGTGCCGTATATCCTACTGAGTGCAACTTCCGTTTTTCAGCTAGAGGAAATACACACCCTTTTAACAGCTGTGCCAGAGCCGATTCTCTTTCAGTTTGAGGTCTAGCCTTCGGGTCGTTTTTATTCACTACAAATGTATTACGATGTCTTTGAAAGAAAAAGAAAAAAAAACTACAAATATGCCCGAACCCATTTAATGCATAGCGTCACCAGCGGTGAAATACAGGAAAAACCCAAAAGTTGTATATTTCAGAATTTCTTGGAGACTTTCAGGAAAAAAAAACACAACTTCCTTGTATTTTCCAGGATAGTAGTATATTTTGGGGAATTCAATAAAACTCCAGTGGATAAGCACAAGTCTTACTTTCCCGTCTAATTTAACCCTGCTAAAACAGGGATAGGGTGAACATTAATTCAGGGAATAGCAAAAACAGACTCTTAATCTACCGATTTATTTGCAGTTTTATGTTTCACAGTTAATAAGATAGATAGGTTAATTCTTGTTAAACATAATAAATAAAATAAATATGTTTAAATAAATAGATTATGACATAAATACACATTACATAAATTATTTCGTCTTAAATATGAACGCAGGATTTTCCATAAATATACTAATGTGCTCCCATTGCATAAAAAAAAAGTTCACAAAAAAGAAATGGAAATGTTCTTCAGCACTCTAGCACTATTTTTCACAACGATCGATCAAAGAACAGTCACACACCAAGTCTGGAAAGTCGCTAACATTTTTCTTCTTTCACCTTCTAGCCTAATACTGAGCAGCCATCGTTATTGCACTCAGCAGGACCCTCAGCCGTGGGTGCAGCTCCCCCCAGAGGCATTTCCGTGCATAGCAGGATTGCCAGCACCGAAGACCCGGGCTACCAGAATGGAGAAGGAAAGCAGACGTTGTGCGCTGTGGCGGCGGAGATCCTCCAGCATCCAGTCAGACTTTGGATAGGCGGCCTGCTTCCCCGTAGCCGGATTTCGCTCATCCTGGAAAGAGAAGTCTGTTGGTCAGGCAAGTTGAAGATTGAAGATTAAAGATTTAATCAATTACATTTTTTTTCTAGAAACTTGATGTAGGTCATACTACAGAATCCATTTGCATATAACATTAGGGAAAAATCTACAAATAAAGATCACGGCAAAACCTGAACATCTGTAACTTCTCTGATTGCACCAGTCACGTGGTAGCAGATGGTCCTGTTTAAATGAGAAGTGAGGCAGCCTGCAAAATCAGTGCTACGGGTGTCTTACTACAAGGCTCGCGGAATGTAGGAGCTCCTGGAGGTCAGATAACGCTTCTGCTGCGCTCCGTGCTGTGTCACAGTGCCGGAACAGACCATCCGCCCCAAACATATTGGAGTGCGTCTTCAGAGCAATATCGATCTTCTGTAGACAGGGCTGGGACAGAGGCAATAACGCGCTAAATTCTTTCCCAATCAGGCAGCGTGGCCGACTTTAATTTTAGTTCTGAGAGAAATGAACCTGTGGTGCGCGTACTACAGATCTTAATCGTCAATGTCATTAAAAAAAAAAAAAGTTCGACAAAATTGATATGCATGCAAATTAAATTAACTGTTTTATGCAACCCTCACTGACAATCACCCAATATCCATCCATCCATCCATTTATCCATTCATCCATCCATCCATGTCAGGGAGCAAACACTTCATTAAGGCTTACCTTATAGTCAGTTGTTAAATTATTGGGACTGCATATATCAGACGAAATTGCCAAGACGCTGTCATCTGTTTTTAAATGTACATACGGCGAACTCCCAAGGACCTATTAAAAAAAAACATAAAATGTAATGAATCATGATTCTAAATAAAAAATGGTAATACAAATTTTGGTAATAATTACATAGTGATCACAATGTTCTATCTGGCATCGTGTAGCATCATTTGCACAATTGATACATTTTGTAAAATCATTTAAGTAAGATTTAAAAAAAATACTTACGTGCTGTGCAATATGTTGAGCTTTTTGGTTTAATATGGTAGAGACTTCGGTGAATTTATCCCAAGGGATGATCGGATTCGCGTATCCCGTATGGATAGATGCCTGAATAAAAAGCACAACAGTAATGCCACGGAGCGAGTGCATGTCTCTGGCGGCGTGTACACCTGTAGTAGATTCTTGTGCATGAAACTTGCACTGTACGACTGCAGTATTCCAACAGGAGCATGTGAAAAGAAAAATGAATACCTATCTACATTTATACAACTCGGTGACTCACGCGAGGACTTTCCCGGCCCCGGCCAGGTAGCTGATACAAAATTGCTCGGGGTTTCACTTTAATAACTGCCGGTTTAATGACTTCAGCAAAAACTTCTCCAAATATTTTCGTATCGAATCCATCAAATAATGTTAAGACATATACAGGGAATTCTCAGAACTGATTATTCATTCGCTCGCTGATGTTTGGTACTGTAGATAGGTCATTCCGTAGGCTGCAGTACTCCAATCATGATTTATTATTGATCTTCTTTGAAAAATTCTACAAAATATGAGTCATGGAGGATAAAGGTTGTTGGTTCTGGATCCTTATCCTTCAAATTTAGCGGATATCGGACGCACTTACTATTTTAATTTGGAGTTAAAGCACAGGATATGTGCAACAGTGTAAAACTGGAGTCTCCCCTATTACAACAGATTACGTCATAATGCAGAATGCATTGTAAATTAGGCCTAATTATAAGTTATGCATTGTTGTGTCTCCTATATATACTTAAGGGATGATTCGGTTTGAAAGGCAGAAAAAAGTAGCATTTCTGATTTCTCTTTGGGTTTTGAAAACCTGGCAGCTTTGTCGGTGTTTCTGGAGGGTGAATGAATTACAGTTGAGTACAGTTTTCAGAATCTCATAATTTCTATGTAATTGAATAATTAGAGTTTTATTATGCATCCTTATTAACAGTTATTTTTCAGCAGCTAACTTTTCAGTTTTTAAGAATTCATTCTTGAATGGGAAGACTGCAGTTTTAAATGCTTGTACTTCGGGTTTCTATCCGGGGGGGTCAGTTTGAAAGGGTCCGTAGAAGCTTATTGTAAATTAACAAACTATTGGTATAGTTATGGTTTATGAAATGAGAAAAATAGGGAGGAAACATTTTCAAGCCCCCACTATCTCCTCTTCTATAGCAGTGGTTCTCAATCCTGATCCTGTCACCCCCACCTGCCAGAATGTTTTTATTCCAGCCCATTAGAACTCACACTATTTCAACCTGTCATATTCATTATTAGCCTATTAAGGACCATATAAGACTGATTCAGATAGGGTTGGAATAAAAGCATTCGGATAGGGGGTCCTTCAGTAACAGGATGAAGAACCACTACTCTGTAGTCTCTAGTCACTTAAGTGAGCACCCATTGATATTAGGGGGGTCACTGCCTGCGGTCTGTTTCCATTCTGGAGGGGAGGTTCCTAATGTAAGAAATGTTGGAATGCCCAGGCAAATTCTGGCTTGCTTTGAAGTACAGAAAACCAGTGACGTCTGATTCCCCTGAGAGCATTGTCCATCTTTCCGGAAGCCCATTAGGTCTCTGAATGGTCATACTGTTTGTGGCTCGTCTCACTCAAAATGCAGATGACAAGAGGTAGGGCTGTGAAATTTCCATACAGTCCCCTTAACATCCCTAAGCGTATCTCTCATTGG